CACAGTGGTTATATGCTAAGACCCCTACTGGATAATTTAAACTGCAGGTAGTACCTAAATATATAAATATACTGTTTACTCCTATCCACACATACCTGTGATAGTTTAATTCATAAATTAGGTACAATAAGAGATCAACAGTAAGATAGAACAAATATAAAAAATACTGTAACAAAAGTCATGTGAATGTGTTCTCTATCTCTGACAACCAATCTAATAACTGAGTATGCCACTAAATGACTAATGGGTGGGTAGAATGTACAGTGTGGATACACTAGATAAAGGAATGATTCACATCCTGGGTGCAATGGAGTGGAATGGCATGCAATTTAAAACTTAAGAACTGCTTATTTCTGGAATTTTCTGTTTAATGTTTTTGGACCATGGGTGACTGAAACCATGGATAGTGAAACGACAGATAAGGGGGACTACCGCTATAAAGCTATGACAACCACTTAGTCTTTTAGGATTTCATAGATCTATAGCTCACCAAGAAATAAAATACAATACTGCCAGAAATAATTAATCCGTAGGACTGGGAGGTGAGATTATTAGATAGCAAGGACAAAGTTATAAATAATCTTGCATTTAGGAAATTCATGCTTGACAATGACCTTAAATAGGAAACTGTAGAAATCATGGACTAAAAGTAGCATAGGAACCAGATGTTCACATACCTCAGAGTTAAATATTTTAATATGCTGAGCAAGCAACCCAGATCATCAGATGTTTTAATGGAGCTGAGAAAAATCTGAAATCTGTGGTATAAAAGGGAGACAATAATTACTAATTATAGATGCTAAGCTAATTGTAATAGGGAGAAATTGAGTGAAAATGAGATCTCTGTAAAAGATGTAATTATGCTCATAGCAATATTAACCACAACAGTCAAAAGGTGAAAAAAAATCTAGGTTTTCATCAATGGATAAAATGGATAATCAACAACATCAAAATATACATATATATATATTTCAGCCTTAATGAAGTTCTGATACATACTACAACATAAATGAACATTAAAACATATGCTATTAGAAGCAAGCCAGTCACAAAGGAAAAAATATTACAGAACTTCACTTATAGGAGGTACCTAGAGTAGTCACATTCAGAGAGACAGAAATTGGAATGGCGCTTGTCAGGAGTTGGGAAAAGAATGATAGGTTACTGCTTAATAGCTATGGAGTTTCAGCTTGGTATGATGAAAAAAATTCTAGAGATGAATAGTGTTGATGGAGGAATAACAATATGAATGTACTTAATGGTACTGAACTGTAGACTTACAAATGGCTAAACTAGGTAAATTTTTGTTATGCATGTTTTTCTACAATAGAAAAAAATGTGACATCTACATATTTCAAAATGCTGCATTGTAGTGTGGAATAAGCCTCCCTCACTCATTTGGAGATTTCCTTGATAGCTCCGTCTGCCCCAATTCATTTGCAATTTTAAATTATCTTGGCACAGTGAAGCTATGAGAAAAGGAAAGAAACAAGTCTTGAATACCAATCATGCAATAAGCACTGTATTTTGTAGTAATAATACATAGATAAAAAAAGACAAAGCGATAGCACAAAATTTGAAATGTTAACAGTACTTTCCATAAAATATGGGGAGTGCCAGGGGGAATGCATGCTTAGGCTACAAAAACACAGAGGAGCAAATCTGGCCTCTTTGCTTTTGAGATTTGCCAAAGATAACTGCGATAAGTTCATTGCTTTTTACAATTCTGTCAAAGTATTGCAAATATATTTCATAGTTTTAAGATAATTTTAAAGTTGTAATAGTTTTCTTGTCTATAAAGTAATTTCTAATTGCTGATAAATATCTACTCCATTAAATTGTTATTAAAAAAAAAACCTAATGAAAACAATAGAAATGAGAGTGCTAATTAGGAAGTTCCAAACATTTCTTAAAGTTGTTCTTGCATTTGCTTATCTTGCGATATTTGGAAATTAGACTAAAACACCATGTTGAAAACCACCATTTCACTTTTATTAATTATACATAACGATGACAACTGTTTGAGGTTTATTACTTTAATTTAAAAAGATAATTAGATGTTGTTTATATTCAAACCGGCTACAAGACCAATGAGTTCAGGGAAGAAAATGAGGAAAAGCAGCCATCTCCAACCCTCATCACCCTACTCAGTTCTCATCTCCCTATGTATGCTGACTGAGGGGAAGGGGAAGAGGTGACTGCAAAGGGAGGTTAGGAAAAGTACGTAGTGAAAATGGCATGTCACTTCTTAAATCAGAAAGCAGACAAAAGGAATTCTTTGTAGCCTTAAAAAACAAAAAAACAAAATTCCTATTGAAGGATAGATTCTTCTAGAATACTTGGATCCTAACTAACATTAAATTGTGATACTGGGAAGTACTTTCTAAAAACAAACTAGTTATGATGGTGACTCATTCACCTTATAAATTCCTCAGGCTAGAGAAGATAGATATGGTAGGTAAGAGATACAGTACTGCTAGTGATGTGAGCAGCAAAGGGGAGAACAAATACTAACGTGAATGTGCATAATGAAATGACTCGCAGCAAAGAAATTGCAGCAGCTGAGCAAACAAAAGAAATCTCTGAAAGGTAGAATAAAATATTTCAAACTCAGAGTAACATTCAGCAGTTTCCGATTTACAAGTGCAAGCTGAGCAGAAACTTTTGTCTGCTGTTTAGAACAGGGGTAAGGATAGGGGAAATTCATTAGTCACTTCAAAACTCATGTTAAGAGGGTTTGTAAACTTTCTATGAGGCAAAATGATTCACTGTTCAGTTTCCTAAGAACACAAGATTATGTTATGACTTATTACAGATTTTAATTATAAACATCATAGCAACCATCTCTAAAAATCAGATATGTCTTTAGTTTGATATTTTTGCAACTTCAGTGTGGGAAATGGAAAATATAATGAAACTACAATCCCCGCCTTTGACCAACACTCCATTTGCAGAGAACATTTAACTTCAGGTGATCCTTTCACGAGTGTGTTTTTCCAGTTCAACAAATGTTTGGTTATTATCTCAAAACACTAAAGGAGGAGTTCCTGAGATATTTGCTTGCATAAACCAGAATTGGATCTGGAAGTTTTAAGCTATCCCATAAAACCATCACAATGCTTCAGTGGCTTAATACAAAACTTTTTTTTTTCCCCCCTTACTCATAGAATGGTCAAAACACAGTTGTCTTTTATCAGGCTGTTTTCTTTCAAGTGACAAGACCTAGGCTCCTTCAATTTTGTGTGCCTACCTTCCTCATGATCTCCCGTTTCCTCTCCATTTAGCCAGAAGTCAGAGAAAAATAGAGATGTGTGGATTTCATAAACAGGTTTGGACGTAGTATATCATTTCTGTCCCCATCTACTTGGGTACAGTCCAGTCATAATTTAACTCCAAAGGAGGGTAGGAAATGTAGCAGAGCTGTGTGAATTTGGTGAACAACCAGTAATTTGAACAACTTATCTCTTCACAAAGATTTTTTTTTATTTCCTGAGGTTTAGTCTTCTGTGGAAACAAAAAATTATATGGATATCTTAACTAATAATTTCTGCTTTCCAGGACTGTGTGTGTGTGTGTGTGTGTGTGTGTGTGTATAAAGGTAGAAAATTACCAGGATATTACTACAAATAAATGAAGCAGAATCCTATCTAATAAAATAGTATACAAATTGACCATCATCCCAACACATAAGATGGCTACCCCCATGTGGTCAAAGATGGCTGCCCCCGTGTAGACACAAGATGGCCGCCATAAGATGGCTGGCAGGGGAGGGCAGTTAGGGAAGACCAGGCCAGCAGAGGAGGGAAGTTGGGGTGACCAGGACTGCAGGAGAGGGCTGTTAGTGTCAATCGGGCTAGCAGGGTAGCAGTTAGGCATTAATCAGGCTGACAGGAAACTACTGAATAGGAAGAGACTGAAGGATAGGACTGAGTATTTGAGGTGCAAGAGAGCTACATCAGGGATCATGTGGAAAGTTTGAGGTGGGGCGGGGTGAAAGGGTAGACTGCGTCTTTATGTGCTCTCTGGGTATTTCTGTGCTCGCTAAAGGAATATCCTCAATCCTCACTGATGCCCTTGGTCAGCCATGATGAAGACCCTCAAAGACTGCTGACATCTGTCCTATTTCATACATAAACAATGGGGCCAGCATACAAAAAAACAGCAACAACAAAAAAACAATATGAGGGGAAATTAGGGACATCTCAGAAAAGAAAGGCAAACCATCAGCGTGCTCAAGTCTGAGGCATCTCAGTCTGAGATAGACAAGGGCCAACACTTCTTGAAACTCTCACAAAAAATAAAGGATCACGTGTCTGTGCCTCAAAAGGATGTTAAGTCTTTCTCACACAAATGGAGGTGTTTTCCACTAGCTTTCTCTTAGATAGCAGTTCCTACACATCCGATCATGAATGCAATCTCTCTCACAGGTAGCAGTGCCCCCAAATGTCTACACACCCAGCAACAGATAGAGGAGTGGAGACTGAAAGCAACAAACACAATTATATTGTAAAGTACAAGATGGTCTAACCACTATGTTGTACATAGGAACCGTATAGAGAATAATACTGAACGTGAACCGGAGTTTAAAACAACATAATACCAGATACAGGCACACGTACATACAAATGGAAATGCTAACTTACACGAACACAGGCCAGTTCAGATAGATATATCATCCTCTATATTCTCGGTACTGCACTTTATCACATTACTGTTGTCGTTTGCTGCCCTGTTTTGCCACACTCTGAAATCATCTTATTGACCTGTTTACTTGTTTCTGCTCGTTATGTTCCACGGGACCAGGGACTGGTAGAGCCAGTTCACAGCAGGAGGGCTGGCCTGTAGCAGGGCTTCAATAAACATTTAGATCGGTGATTAAAGTTCTCTCCCCGTATCTAACCACCCGCCTAAAGCATTCTCCTCCTCCCTGGATTAAGCTCAGCGGGTTTGCATCATATTGATTTGAACAAGCAACTGCTGAGGCCCCAGGCCAGGGCCCCCTACCCATTTGCACCCTCTAAATCCACACCAGTTCTGGCCCTTGTCATGTTGTTGGCTTCTGAATGTGGTTCTTCCCACTAGCATATGAAGACAAATAGACAACCAGGCAACTGAGAGAGCTCAGGGCTTTTAATCAACAGAATCCAGAGCCTGCCCCACCTGGGTCTCGGTCAGAAACCAGGCTGTACTCAGAAGCTCACAGTCTACCTGCAATGAGGGTGGGGCGAGGGGCAGGGGAAGAGTAAGAGAGGGGTTAAGCCAGGGTAGGCTGCGCATGGCGGGGAGGTGCTTCAACTGTAAGATAAACACCTTTCTCCCCCCACTTTCTACAGCACCATGAACAGGCGAGGTCCTAAGAGAGAGGTAAACCAGAGGCCCTCCCTCCTTCTACTCCTGCAGTCCAGACACACAAGGCCCTTGGCTGGAGTCTCACCTAATCTAGGATCCTTGCCCGTGTTGCTGTCCCCAGGAAGTCATGGCAAGCTTGCAAGTCTAGCAGGCGTTAGGCCCTCACCCTTGGGGAGACCTGGTATGAGCAGGGCCTAAGCCCCTTCTCCCAGATTCTCTCTCTGCCTCCATGCCTACTTGACCCATTTCTCACACACCTTGGAGGACACACTTCCATCTCTCCCCATGCTATCCCCCGTGGCCTGCTCCCGGGATTGGGTCAGCAGCTGGGACTTATCCTCAGGAAGATCCGAATCTTGTGGTAGCTCTGCCTCTGTCTCGGGGGACTGCAGCTCACCCTGCAAGGTGTACATCAGTTGAAGGAAGGTCTGGTGCCTGGAAAAAAGAGCTGGGTGTGAAGGGAGGAGCTTCGGCTGGTCCACCCTGAGCCTGCAGCCCATGTGCCCAGTCTCACCTCTGCAGCTTGTCCCGCTCCTGTCCTGCTTGCTGCTTCAAGGTTCCAAGTTCCTGACACAGCTGCTCAAGGTCCTGCTGAGTTCCTGCCTGTCGCTGCCTCACCTCTGCAGAAGCTTCTGCTAAGTGCTGTAGACGCTTCTCCTACCGTGAGAATGCAGATGTGGCTCATCAGATGCTGAACAATCTCTGCCCTCACCTTCAGCCTAGACCAGTGGTCGTCAAACTGTGGCTCGCGAGCTACATGAGGCTCTTTGGCCCCTTGAGTTTTTAGCAAAGGCCAGCTTAGGAGTACCCTAATGAAGTTAATAACAATGTACCTACCTATATAGTTTAAGTTTAAAAAATTTGGCTCTCAAAAGAAATTTCAATTGTTGTACTGTTGATATTTGGCTCTGTAGACAAATGAGTTTGCCGACCACTGGCCTAGAAGGCACAGATAGGATAACATTCACTTAGTCTGCTATGTGCCAGACACGTTTTAAGTACTTGCTATATTAGTTGCTTAATCATCTTAACAACTTGATTTTCTAGAGTAGGTGTAAATATTGCCTCCATTTCATAGATGAAGAAACAAGCACAGAAAGTCAGGTGACTGTCCAAGGTCATGCAGTTGTAAACAGTGATGCTAGGACTCAAGTCCATGCCAGTTCCTATACATCCTATAATGCCCCATAGAAAGAAGGGAGATGAGGTTTTCCTGGCAGAGCACTTAGTCCATGCGATGCCATGGTGACAGAAAAGGGTATTTTCTTAGGGGGATGGACCCACCTGTTGCAGCTTCCACTGTTTCTGGGCTGTTCTGAGTCTCTCCATAGCTACTTGCTTCTGCAGGCAGGCAAAGGAAGGGGGACAAGAGGAGAAAGAATGTATTTTTCTGGTTGCATGCTCACCCTTTCCTCTCTGAATGTCCTTTCCTCCCCTCACCCTGGGTGCACCTTGGCCTGGAGCTGGTCAAGGGCCTCCTGGAGCTGTGCCTGCTTCTTTTGGGCCTCCTCCATCTTGGGCAGGGCGTGGATCACGGCCCTCGAGATGGCTTCCACGTGTTCTTGGTAGGTAGCCTTCAGCTCTTTCCATTGCTCCTTGGCTGCAATGGCCTTCTGTCCTGAGATGAGCCACCAGAATGAGAACCTGAGTGAAGGCAGGCCTGCTAGCCTGAAACACTGCGGCCTCAGTCTTTCCACCAGCTCTAGAGCTTTCTTCCTTCCCCACCCAAGGCAACCCCTATCCCAGCCCCCTGGCTACTCACGGCTCCTGTCTTCAGAAGCCAAGGGGTCCAGGCCCCGGATGATGTCCTCCTGAGCCAAAAAGTTCTGCAGGAAGTCCACTACCTGAAGCTGGCTGCAGAGCAGCTTGTCCTTCTTCCGGGAATCCTGTCAGAGGGAGGAGAGAGGCAGGGAACATCCTTACCCCCTTGTACCATAGGCCCACAAGGCTGCCTTCCAGTCTGCTCAGCATCAGTGCTGCCCAGTATCCCAACAGAAGCACCCAGTAGCAGTCCCTGGCTTTATGAAAAACTAGCTGCCACCTTGAACATACCATCACAAACTCAGCCAGGATCTGTCCGGGCGGTTCTGCCTCCTCCCGCAGGCCTATAGGCTCCAGGACGTTTGCCAGCTTGGCCAGGGCCCTGAAGGGGCAAGGAAACAAGGTAAACGGCAGGCTCCGGGGGGGGGGGGGGGGGGGTGGGCGAGATCTGGAGAACTTCTGTACACACGTAGCTACATGTACCAATGCTGAGAGTCTCCTCCGACCAGCAGCTACCCACTGGCCTAAAGGGCTCTCTTACACATACGGTGTGTGTGTATGGAAGACACATGAAGGGAATAAGTACCATGAGCAAAAATAAGCAAGGCAAAAGGGAATAAGGAGGAGAGGGTGGGGAGCGTCTCACTGAAGAGACACCATTGGAGTCCAGGGAAAGGTACCGGAAAAGGGAAAAACAAGGCAGAACTAACTGATGGCAGTGGGCTGCCCTCCAGGCAGAGGGCACCCCCTCTAAGGTAGAGTCTTAGAACACTCGGGGAGAGGCTCGGGAGCAGGGCGAGATGCCCAGGCACAGGTTCTGCCTTGGTAGGGGCTGGAGCGGTCCGCTGGGAGGCAGGAATCAAGAAAAAAACAACAACAACCTAGTGGGAGAGTGCGCTGGGACAGGCGAGACAGCAATGAAATGGCCCTCCCGGGAGGTCTCCCGCAGGTGCAAAGTCCATGCTTATGATGGCACAGCCCGCCAAGGGAGTGGGGGTTGACAGCGATGAAACCGTCCCTTTCAGGGAAGCGTGCAAACGGGGAGGGGCTGGCAGTCCCTCCGAGGCCCTCATGCTGGAGACAAGGCATCTCTAGGACCTAAGACTAAGGCCGGGGGTCAGGATCCCTTCCCCGCGGGGTCCAGGAAGCGGTCCTCTGTCCTCGGGGACCGGCAAGACACACCGCGGCCCGCCCCTGGCTGGGCGGCCACCCGGCGGAGGACACTTACTCTGCGGCCGCGGCCTCCGCCACCTCCATCCTCCCCGGCGCAGCGTTTCAGCCCGACGCTCCGACCCGCCGAATCACTCTTTCCGCTTTGAATCCACCGCCCACGGCGCGCCAGGACAGGCGATTGGTTGCCCGGCTAGTGGGCGGGACCGAGGAGCATTGTGCGCTCTGATTGGTAGGCACTTACTCATGCATTGGGAGCGCCTTGCTGTTTGGCGCAGGCGCAGTGAGAGCTGGTCTTGGAGGGCGCGCAGGAGTCCCGCGCCTGCGCACTGGCCTGCAGGCAGTGCAGGAGCCTGGAGGTGGTGCGTTAACTCGGCGGTGCTTTAGCTGTGCAGAGGGGAAAGCATTGCTGAGTTTGGGTTTTGGATGAGGTGACCAGACATCCCGCTTCTGGCGGGGCAGTCCCGATTTTCAACAATTTGTCCCACGGCGTTTTTAAAAGGTCCCGAATTTTTCAAGGATTCTTTCCCAAAATCGGGGACTGTGTTTAAAACGCCGCGGGACAAGTTGCTAGAAATCGGGACTGTCCCGCCCAAAGCGGGACGTCTGGTCGCCTTAGTTTTTGGAGGAAACCCTCAGCATTAGTTTTATTATTTAAAAAAAAAAAAAAAATTCTGCGATAGAAATAGAGCAGTGGGTCCGTCTTCCAAGACACTTGGCTTCAGTAACGGAGAACAGTGCTGCTGGAGACACAGGGAAGAAATGAGATCAGCTCGGAAAGCTTACTGCCTTTAAAGACTTTCCGGGATGCGGTGCTGGGAGAGAGAACCCAAGCCCATTACCTGAGCTGACAAGATGACGCTGAAATTTTGGGGGAACCAAAGCAGGTGTTCGCAGCAGCAGCGTTTAGGAGCAAGGAGAGAGATGCTCAGGGAGAGAACTCAGCTCTGCAGAGTTTTCCCCAGTGTTCTGCTGAGAACTGAGCAAACTGGGTCTGGGGACAGTACCCAAAAGGAATCTTAAATATTCCTAGAGGTCATGTAGAGTCAGAAATTATAACTGTATCCACCAGTCAGACTGGAAAGCTTAATCCATGGGGCACTGGGGAGAGTACACAGACAGGTCATGCCTTAGTAGGAAACAATTAGCTCTAAAATGATCACTGCTCCAGAGCCACCTAACAAATCTTAAAAGCAAGACCCAACTTACTCTAAGCACAAGAACGATTTGATCAAACTGTTAAAAAAATCGCTTAAATATATGACAGGCCAACGTTCAATAATATTTGTAGAAATGCAAAACCGTACAAAAAAACAATAAGATAGTGTTTACAATGCCTGGCATTAAATTAAAAAATTATTTAGCTGGCAAAAAGAAAAGAAAATCCATAACAAGAAGAAAAAAAAATCTGTCACTAATCAGCACAGAAATATATGTTTGAATGAACAGACGATGACATTAAAACACTTTTATAACTTTTATTTGTTCAAAAAGATAAGCAGAGTTATAATAAAAAGAATAAGGTAAATATGTGGAGAGAGTTTGACGCACACATTGCTGCTGAGGATGTAAAATGATGCATCTGCTTTGGGAAACAGTTTGACAGTCTCAAAATTTTGAACATAAAGTTGCATTTGAAGCACAATTCCACTCGTAGGTTTATGTCCAAGAAAAATGAAAATGTGCACACAAATCTTGTATACACACGTCCATGGCAGCATTTTATACCAGGGCCAAAAGATAGAAAAGCCCAAATACCCATCAGCTGGTGAATGTTAAAATCTATAATCCATTCAATAAAATATTTTCAGCAATAAGAGAGAATGAATCACTGGTACATGATGAAACATGGATGGACCTTGAAAATATTATGCTAAGTTTTAAAAAAAGCAACAATCCCAAAAGAGCACATATCATATGATCCCATTCATATGAAATGTCTGGATTAAGCAAATCTAGAGAAACAAAAAGTATTTTAGTGGTTTTCTAGAGCTGGGGCTGACAGGGTTGGGAGGTGACTGGGCAGAGGCTGTGGAGTTTCATCTAAGGAGGGAATGAAAATGTTCTAAGATTATGGGAAGATTGCACAATTCTATTCAAATAGCCATTCAGTTAAAATTTAAATGGGTCTCAACAAAAGTCTGAAAAAGTTAATCAGAGATATGAAAAAGAATAAAGACAACTCAAACTGTAGAAGTGACAATTACAATGTAAGAGATGAAATTAGATGGGATTAATAGCAGATTAAACATTGTATAATAAAAAGGAAATTAAATTAAAGACAAAGCCTTAGGAATTAACAGGAATCACAGAAAATGAAAACAGTAAAACAGTGATTTTTGGGACAATTTCTAACAGCCTAATGTACTTATAAATGGAGTCCCTGAAGGAGAGACAAGGAGAAAGGACAAAACAACAACAACAAAAACAACAATGAAATTTAAGAAAACTATAAGTTCACATATGTAGAAGTTCTACTAAACCTAAGCACAAGAAACATGAAGAAAACTATATCAGATCATATATGGATCAAAACTATTGACGTTACATACAGAGAAACAAAAATAGATTTAAAATGTCACATTTTGAGTAAAGAATTTGCAAATGTATAAATTGCATGTTTATAAATTTTAAGTATTTGTTTGCCACTCAGCAAACTCCAATGCCCTCCATAAATTTTATCTAGGAATTTTGTTGTTGCTCAGTCATCTTCCTCTGTTGCAGAAAATAGCACAACAGCTAGAAAGTAAGGCAAATTCCCTTAAGCATATAATTGATATGGGGTTATATTTTCATTATTAAAATAGAAACATCTATTCAGTCATTGAACAAGTTGAAAAGAAGAAAAAAATAATAAAGCATCTGTTTCTGGAAATTTCCCCCACTCGTTTTGAAGCTTTTATTGTGTAGTGTGTGAGAAATGGTTCTGAAAATAGTATATATTAGCACTCAAATGGAACATCAACTGTTTTACTGGGATGCATGAAGTGATTATGGGGGCAGGTTCACCTGAGATTCATAGAGCAGTAAGTAAATATAATAATGAGATAAGACACTTTTGCAATTGCCTATAGAAAAAAAAACTGTCTCTGGTACTTTATGAAACATTAAAAACAACATATCATGCACTGAGAACTGATTTCCAATTGCATAGAAATTTGTTTTGTATGTCCAGCTCTCCCAGCTGTGTTTTAGGATTTAAGTTGTATATCCAGATCTTTTCTGCCCAGTGGCAAGGTCATATAAACGAGTCTTGGGAAATTCAATGAATAAAACATATGTGCCTAAGTGATCACCATACTGTCTAGTAACCATCAGTCATCATACAAAGTTATTATACTAGAGGCCCAGTGCATGAAATTAGTGCATGGGAGGGGTGGTATCCCTTCTCCTGGCCTGCACCCTCTTCAATCCAGAAACCCTCGGAGGATGTCCAATTGCTGGCTGCAGGACTAGGCCTAAACCAACAGTAGGACATCCTTCTCGAAATCTGGGACTATTGGCTCCTAACCGCTTACCTGCCTGCCTCCTGATTGCCTCTAACCACTTGCCTGTCAGCCTGATCACCCCTAACTACTCTCTCTGCCAGCCTGATCATCCCTAACCACCTCTGCCTTGGTCCCCGCCACCATGGCTTTGTCTGAAAGGATGTTCATATGAATGTCCTGAAGACATCCAGTCTAATTAGCGTATTACCCTTTTATTAGTATACATTATTGACTATATTCTCTATGCTATGTATTAATTCCCATGACATTTATTTTATAACTGGAAATTTGTACCTTACTTCATTGGATATATTAATGATAATAACTAGTATGTCAGAAACCTGAAACCAATATACTGTTGTATATTAAATATATTTTAATAAAAAAATAACTTTAGCCTAGACCAACACTGATATATTTTTTGTCTCTATAATAGACTATCCTTTCTTGAAAATTTCAGAAACATACATAGGTAGGTTTTGTGTGTGTGTGTGTTTGTGTGTTTTGTATCTGCTTCTTTGCTTTTGTACAAGGTTTTGAGGATCATCCATATTATAAAAGTGTGCATCAATAATTTGTTCCTTTTTTTTTTATTAATATATTCTATTGTATGGATATACCAATACAGTTTATCTATTCACCAGTTGGTGGAAATTGGAATTATCTCTAGTTAATGATTTTTATGAATATGATACTGTGAACATTCCCTTAAATTTTTGTGTGTGGCCTTAACAGGTTTTGGTCAGTGGACAGAGCATCTGCCCGCAGCCTGAAAGATCCCCATTCAATCCCCAGTAGGGGGCGTGCAGGGGGTAGCTGGTTGATGTTTCTCTCTCTTCAATGTTTCTAACTTTTTATCCTTCTACCTTCCTCTCTATAAAATCAATAAACTATATTTAAAGAGAAGTTTTTTGTGTGAATATATAAGGGCCATCTTTTCATATGTTTATTATCTATTTGTATATCTTCTTGGATGAAATACCTATTTAAATATTCTGCTCATTTTAAAAATCTATTTCTTGATTCCTTAATTTTGAGTTGTAACAGTTATTTCTATTCTACATACAACTCTGGTTTTGTTTTTTGTTTTTTAATCAGATGTATAATTTGCAAATATTTTTCCCTAGCCTGCAGCTTGTCTTTTATTTCTTTAACATGTCTTTTAAACTATTAAGAATGCTTTGCCTAGTTGAAGTTATAGAATTTTTTCTGTATTGTCTTCTCAAAAATTTCTCACATCTACACTTATTATTTATTTTGAGTTAATTTTTTGTGCATAGTGTGTGGTACGAATCTAAATTCATCTTTCTTCATATGAAGGTCCAATTGTTAGAGCACCTCTTATAAAAAAAACCAAAAACTATTATTTCCTCAATTGTCTTGGCACTTTTGTCAAAAATCAATTCTGTTTCTTTGATCAATGCTCATATTCTTACATAGCATCACATTGTTTTGGTATTGCACCTATTTAGTTCATTTAGAAATTTGGAAGTATATGCCTTAAAACCTTTTCTCCTTTTACAAATGTGATTGGCTAATCTGTAATCTATAATATGAACATTATATAATACAGCATATTATAATATGCTCTGTTTTTAA